CTTTGATGACAAGTGGAAGAATTTGGAAAATAAGCGATTTTCCGAAACCAGTCGGCAAAAAAGCGACAGTATCTTTCCTGTTACATATAGCTTCAATTGCGGACAATTGTTCTTCTTTGATAGAGTTGATACCATCGATGTGTTTTAAGACACTGTCCACTGCTGACGCGACAATTTCCTTAGAAATCATTTTGATTTGATTTATGGATGGCGAGCACCGACACTCCGATCCGATGAACTAATCAAAACTAAAATGGCGCGTGTCATGTGACTTTGTTTACTAAAGATAGCGTGGGCGTTTGATTGACACTCAACTCATTAGTATTCCACCAATCACAGCTACATCTACTTTCTGGATGTGCGCAGTCAAATTGTATAGGAGACAAGCTGGAGTCTCGTGTGGCGATAGCGATAACACTGGGACGAATGGTCTGGGGTAGCTAAAGACGGCCTTTCATAACCGGCCCACGAACCCGTGCGTAATCGTGTTAGGAAAAGTTGTATTTCACTGCAGTTGAACTGAGTCATTTGATTTGGCGCGCCAAGGAGCTGGCGCCACCAATCAGCGTTGCTGTATCATAAATGTGAACGCCATCGCAGATTAAAACAACGTCAGCGTGTATGCTTTGCGCTGATTCACCGGGAGTGAAGAACAAAGGGTCTATATTCGTTGACACGTTTCCAATTTTTGTTATTCCAACGTTGAAAATTGCTTGTACAAACCATGTTTTATTAAACTGACAAAACTGTCGAAACTGATAACATATCGACTGATCCGGTCTTCGTTGCAACAAACACATCATTTCTCTCAGATACAGCGCTAAGCACTTTCTTTTCATGGTCAGTAAGCTTGTTCACAGAGCAAAAAGCTAGCAACACGTTGATTTCTATATTTCACCGAGCTAGCTCCATGATTTAAGTATGTTTCGTTTCTATCGTGAGTTCTGATTGGGTAATGCAAATGAACCCGAGTGATTCTTATAATCGCTTGAGGGCGTGCGACATACGTGGTGGAATCTGCCAAAGGTTAATGTTGAGGCTTTCGTTATATTATTTTACATTATGAAGGATATGTGTGTAAAAGATCAGAGTAATAGATTTATCTGAGGTTGTGTAGTCGTCGAAAGATTGAGTTTGCTTACTTTTATTTGCCACAGGAAAAAACAGGGTTGGTTAAAACCACCCAGAAGGCTAAACAGTGAACCAATTAAATACACTAAAACTTGGGGTTTTACATTTTCTCTTAAAGTCTATTATATTTTAAAATGATACTATCTTGAAGTGTTCACATTATCCAATTTGCCATCTATGATAACCAACTTACTTATAGCACAAGTATTTCCTGTAAAACCTGCTAGACAGCTACAAGTAAATGTACCAATACCATCACTACACACACCACCATTAACACAAGGATTGGGATCACAGTCGTCGATATCTACCAAAAAAACAAAAACAATGAAATGTACATATTTCCCACGATACATTAAATACGATAAGTTTCCTTCTTCACTTTTGTGGCCGAGATAATTTACACTTATAAAGACATACGGGAATTACTTATAAAAACACAACGGAGCTACTTATAAAAACATTATGGAGCTACTTATAAAAACATTACTTATGGGAAAATCCACTTACTTATCCCACAGTTAGTTCCTCCATAACCAATAGGACAGGTACAGCTATATCCATTCACTAAATCGTTGCATACTCCTCCGTTTAAACACGGATTACTGGCACATTCGTTGATATCTGCAATCATATATGAGTTATGTTTCATTATATACTATATAAAGATAATATATTCATGACAAACTAAAATCTGTACATGAATGTTAATATGTAGACTACCCACAGCAATTCGACATAAAATTGAAGACATAGGCAGCGACTGGAATTAGACATGTCAATGTCCCGCTGTTATTTCACGCCCCCTAGAAGATGTGTGTAATTCCTTCAGTCAGTAATACCAACTATTAGGATAGAAACATTGAATTGTTCGAACAAAATTCAAATATTTAAAAACAATAGTTACGTTTTCTATGAAATAAATTATGGAATATTTGCACAAATTACTTTAGTGTAAAATTGATGTCATAACTAGGGTAATACGATTTGAAAGCCTTGTTCAAAATGTTGGGACACATGTTGCTCATTTTATATATTTTTGTAATATATATGTGATTTTTTTCTAATTAACCAGGCAATCATAATTTTTCGGCTATAGGTCTTGATCATTACTTCATATTGTTGAATATATATGTATATATATAGAAATAAATGCAATCTCATGATGGAAATGTGACACGGTCAAAATTATGGTTATTACTTACTGATTTCACACAATTGTCCAGTCCATCCAGGAATGCAATTACAAACATAGCCACCCAGTAAATCTTGACACACACCGCCATTTAAACACACGACACCAGCACATTCATCAATCTCTACAATACAACAGATGTTTAAACAATATGTTATTACCAGTACTAAAATATATACCCTACCTCATCATTTCTACAATGTGTCGGTGATGGCGCGCATTTTGTGGCTGGACTTTACGGTAAAAAGTTGTGTTTCTGGTTGAAGACAAAAAAACAAAAGTCGGTGTATACGCAATGCGCATTACATTATTAAAACTTTATTACTTATTATATAAACTTTTATACATATTATTATAAATACTCTATTACTTATATTTACTTCGTTCCAATTTATGTTTACGTCATTGTCAAAATTCTGCTGGGCGAGTGTTGTCTCAGATTTCTACCGCGTGGCGGCGGTATACCATTTTAATGCAGACGCACCACGGTTTGTCTTGACTGACGAAGTAACCGTATGTCGCACGTCATGTGCGGTTTGAACACGATTTCCCATGAAGCCGTTTATCGAATAGGGTGTTTGATGGCGCACTGTAGTCACAGTTTGTCTGTCAAAAGCAGAACCCACTGTTCTTCTGCCACGGAGTTCACTAATAGCTTGGGAAAGGACTACGGGATGATACAATGTCAGTACAGCTTGGGTGGATTGCACTGTCAGCAATGAATCTGAGAATTCATTGAGAGACAGCGCAGAGTTTGAAGACAGTATTAATTCGTAGTTTACCGCATTAGAATTTAAAGTTATCGCTACATGTGTGCGTCACTGTGTATGACCATAGGGTAGTGCATAGTTTATCACACATGTTACGAGTACTGCTTCAGCAGGTTACCAGAATATATACAGAATCAAAGATAACGTTTATCGAAGTGCCATTATCCTCAATATACTTAGGGGTGAAATAAATTATGCTATTGAAGCATGTTGTAAATGTCAAAATAGAAATCTAGACATTTACCAACTATATTAACCACTTTACTTAGCAGGTTAGAGCACAAGCAGCAAGCAGTCTCCATTATAAAAAAATGTCAACATTACGGCTTTTCTCGCCCTCAAATTAAGATTTAATCGGGTGGAAATGTAAAAACCGCAACATGAGACTAGGATGATAAAGCGCCAGCAACGAACAGGTTGTGATTAGAGCAAATAAACAATATACTATTCCTTTACAAACACTCGTGTATTACTTTACCTCCCAAATACGTTATGTCACTACTTTAAGATAACCTAAAAAATGAATTTATACTAGTATTGTTACTAAAATAACCAACAAATACCAATTTTGTTACTAAAATAGCCAACCTATACCAGCTATGTTACTAAGATAACTTACCAACGTCGCAATTTGTAGATTGCCATCCCACGTCACACGCGCACACATATCCATTTATACCATCAGTGCACACACCGTGCACACATGGATTACTTGCACATTCATTTACGTCTGAAAGGGGAAATAGATTTTAATTACAAAGCACGTATGTACATTACGTCATAGCTCAAACCTGCGATGATTTCAACTGCTTAGAATGTTCTCAGATAAATGAAGGATCTTACCCTAGTCCGAGTACGCATCAAATCCGCCATTTTGTTCAGTTTAGTTCATAGCTAGTTGTGTCATTTCCCTTACCCTTATTAATCATATGCCGAAAGCCATAATACTTTACCTTGTTCACATAAAACACCAACATAGCCCGCAGGACAAAAACATGTAAACTCGTTGACACCGTCAATGCACTGTGCACCATTTTGACAGGGATTGCTAGAACATTCATCGAAGTCTAAATGGATTGAATGTAAAAGTAATATAGTGATTACCGACAAATAGCGAAAATTCGAACCTTATTATGTGACTAGTATCGAGTATATAAAAAATAACTGAACTCATATTTCTCGAATTAATAAGTTTAATAGTTAAACCAACTTACCGATTTCACAGTTGATGCCAACGAAACCTGGTACGCATGTGCAGATATACTGATTAATACCATCTGCACATGCACCGCCATTGAGACACGGTGAACTCGAACACTCGTCCACATCTATTTATATTGGGAAAATAGTAGCATGTCACTTACTCAAAATGTACTGAAATAGACATCTGTGTGTTAATGCGACTTGTAATTAACAAACAAACAAACGAATGTACATCAACTTGAACACACAAATAGTAATATCTAACTAAGTTAGCAAATAACTATAAATCGGATAAATGAATGAAACGAACAAATTAATAAATAAAAATTAAGCAAATAAATAAATTAAAAAAATTGTTGAAGACTTAAAAACAACGATATGATAAAAAAAAACACACATAAACTTATGTACACGTACTTATTTCACAGAATGTTCCCTGAAATCCTGCCGGGCATGCGCAGAAAAACCCATCAACACCATCTATACACTGACCGTCATTTTGACACGGTGAACTGGCACATTCATTGATATCTGTGTTATACAATATAATATGTATTTAATGGTTAAGTTTGGGGTTATGTAATGGAAACACGTTGAGTATATGAATACACACTGATTGCGATTGGAGGAATAATGCCACGTGATACAACATGTCATTAATATACTCTAATTACACTCTACAGACATGCGATCAACAATTAATATCAGAGGTACATTACTTGGGGTTTGCAACTCGCGTAGTACTGTATGGTGACATCATGTCAAGATCCCATTCAAGTCTCTTCTCGTAGATAGCGAGACTGAGGCTACGACCTTCTGACATGACACATATCAATGTTCAAGGTTTGTAATGAAAAAATAAAACTTTTCTTGTCGCTATCATAGTGAAAAATGTAATACATCGAAAAAGTACAGAAAATATAGTTCTCGTAATCCGTCATATCGTGGGCAGCTATTTTGATCCACCTGGACATCCCAGTATCCTAGTTACCTCGGGCATGCGCATTCGCATTTTTCTGAGTTGGAACGCTTATGCGAGAGCGAGATTGTGACGGGATCTTGGTATCATGTCACCGTAGTTACAAACCCCAAGTAATGTACCTCTGGAAATATATATATATATATATATATATATATATATATATATATATATATATATATATATATATATATATATATATATATATATATATATATGATCATAAATCTTCTATCTCAGTCCATGTGTGTATCAGTATTCGTCTTCATTCAAGAACAACGAATATTCTAAACCAATTAGATCGACTCAAACGTCTGCACAAAAAACAATGAATAATTTTCGACTTCAAAAAACATTTCGAATTTTCATCAATCGTCTTCTAATAGTGCGTCAGTCAAGTCCTAAACGTTGTCTAAAATGATTGGTCGCCCACGCTCCAACCACAGCTTGTTCACAGTCCTAATTTGATTTATGGACTCGGCTCCGCCTCAATACAAAAAAAAGTGCCCAGACGACACAAATGCAATGATATTTTATACACACATACCTTGTTCACAGAAAACACCAATATAGCCCGCAATGCAAACACATGTAAACTCGTTGATACCGTCAATGCATTGTGCGCCATTTTGACAGGGATTGCTAGAACATTCATCGAAGTCTAAATAGAAAGAAAACACGCTTTAGTTATTGATATCAAATATAATACTGTGGTTGACAGGTGACTACATTTCGTATCATCACAATGACCTAGACATGGGTGCATGAGGTGCTCATGTTCTATTCGGATACTGCACTTAAATTGATTATCTGAAATATCACGTAATGTTATGTGCGGTGACACACTACGTTCACGCGCGGATTTAAGGGGAGGCGCACCAGGCGCCCCACCCATTCAGCCCGCAAAAAAATGCAAACCAATTGACAAGCCAAGTACACCGGAGGTGCGCGGACGGGGGCATTCGGCCACTTCAACATGAGCGCGCTCCCTTACCGAATTTCTGGATCCGCCAGTGACGTTATGTACTGGTTATATAAACAAAATAACTGGTCTCATATTTCTCGAATTAATAAGCTTAATAGTTAAACCAACTTACTGATTTCACAGTTGATGCCAACGAAACCTGGTACGCATGTGCAGATATACTGATTAATACCATCTGCACATGCACCGCCATTGAGACACGGTGAACTCGAACACTCATCCACATCTATTTATATTGGGAAAATAGTAGCATGTCACTTACAAATAAATAAATAAATAAATAAATAAATCTACAAATATCGCAATCAACAATTCACAACGATATGATAAAAACACACATAAACATATGTACACGTACTTATTTCACAGAATGTTCCCTGAAATCCTTCCAGGCATGCGCAGAAAAACCCATCAACACCATCTGTACACTGACCGCCATTCTGACACGGGGAACTGGCACATTCATTGATATCTGTGTTATACAACAGAATACGTTTATTACGTGGTATAGTTAGGTATATGAACACTTCACTTTGAATATAATATTTGATAAGAGGAAATACACTGGTTCGAATTGGAGGAAAGACAGACCACGTACTCCAATACGTCACACTTCGAAAAGTACAGATCTACAAGTGATATTCATGTACGACACCATTTTATTTGCATACGGATAGAATATAACCAAACATGTGTTCAATTAGGTAAAATTGTTGAGTTGGCCACAGCTTGTTGGCTTGCTGTGCCGAGTCTCTCCAATTTACGTCTAAAATAACACTAGTGATATTTTTTTAATAGTTGTACTGGACGAATACATTGAAAGGAAGTGATATACCGATTACCAAAAAAAAACATGAAAATTCGACCAGATTTCCCCTGTTGCTACCTTAAATTTTCAGTATTTAAAGTGAACTGTGATATAATACTGGTTTTGGTACCATGGTGACAACGTTGCTAAAGACATTGGAACATACGTTCACTTACCAATTTCACAATTAGTTCCCGTGTATCCGGAAATACATTGACATATATAATAATTAGCCTCGTCAATGCACACACCGCCATTCTGACATGGGGAACTATTACACTCGTTGACATCTAGAATATTTAATGGTGATATTAGTCATTGACAATTCGTATATGCAGCTATTAAAAACGCAATATTTGGTGACAAATGAATATCAAAAATATTGTTATTATATATATATATATAATAGTGAACGTATGTATGTATATATATATATATGTGCGTGAATTATAACCTTACTGCAGAATGAATGTCAAAAACAATATGAGCGCCATTAATAAAAGAGTGGCCCATCTCCATCTTGATACACTGTGTCCATTAGACTTGCATAAAATTCCCAACATGTTATGGGAGTGTTTAAACTGCGAAAGCCGAGTTTCCGCAAAAGTCGGGTTATTGTTTATTTCGGCGCATTATTTTATTGGTAAAACAACAACAAATAAACAAGTAACAGTATGCAAGTCTATGTTCCCATACTAAGTAGCGCCATCTAACGATGTAGTGAACAGATTCAAACTGCAGATTGGTGATAAGAAGGTTGTTCATATCGTGCCGGTTCTATTTTGTCTGTATTTTTTCAGTGAAAATTATGTCTTTGAGAAGTTTATCATATTCTGAATGGCGGACGACCACACAATAAATCAAAGTTGTTGTAATAAAACACTTCTGTCGTCACTACGTAATTTCGACACCAGAGGGCGCGACATATTTAAAAGGTATATTTAACATCTTTTTTTGTAGGATTACCCATAGACCTTAAAAATTCATTTTTAAATCAGATGTAATCAGATACATTGGAAAGAACACAAACGTGGTTAAACTAACCCCAGATTTCATTAACACAGTGTAACGGTTTGTCCACTAACATTAGTACAACACTTATTTCATTGAACATCACATTCTTATACAGTTTTTGAAACAAAAACAATATTGTCTTTGGCGGGAAACACTATTGCTATTGCAGTCATGAGATCAACAGCGCGTGGCTCGGTGAGGTGAGCGCAGTAAGCAGCGTGCACACACGTGCAAAGGCTTCGCATATACCGGGGAAATCAGCTGAGATATATTATCCCAGCCGAGCTGTACTGACATTGTACCGATATGGGCACTATAGCAAACAGGCAATTGCTATTACATTGTGAAAGTAAATGTGTAGCCTTTAAATTACTCGCAAGTCGCAAGTGCTGCGCCCTCTATCGACAGTAGGATACACACAGTAAGAGTTTGGCGGCGAGTTAAAACATTTATTTTTTAATTATCATACTATCTACCACTTCAATGCAAATGCAATTTACATCACCAATATAATACCTCTGCGTGATATATTCATTGAACACTATAGTCATTTGTGTCCTACTGATATATTTACATATATACATGGTGACCGTACGACTACGCGATCATTATAAAAAAAATACAAATATTACCTTTTCAACGGATAATATTCGTTGAAAATATAAATATATAGATATGATAGTTTGCAATCTAACAACGACTTGTAATAATAAGTTAAATATTCTTTACCTACTCCACAATTGTTACCAATAAACCCTGGAGCACATTCACATCTGTAAGATCGCACTTCGTCAACACACACGCCATTATTTAGACACGGGTCTGACCAACAATCATCGCCATCTTAGAATGGAATAAAATTAATTCGTTATGCTTACTTAAATAATCTAATCACACGATATATACACACTGGTCAAATAACACGATATATACACACTGGTCAAATAACACGATAT